TAACACAGTTTATAAGGCTGTTATGGTCCTTTGGTCTAATCTACACAATATAAAGATCAGAAAGAACGAAAAGAAAATCCATTCAGCATATCCGCTGCAAAAAGGCATAATAATTAACGGCGGTTTGGATTGGTTCGTGAGTCCATCCAATCCCCTGTCTCCCCTGCTCCGCACCATCCCGCCCATGGTCCCGCCTCCTCCCCACTACCCCCCTCACGTACGTGTGATTAGCTAGCTGCAAAGCTGCTGAAGCATAATGGAGCCGGTGTTATGCCGTAGAATGCCCCCTGCCGTAGAATGCCCCCCCTGCCACCAATCCACTCATTAGCTTCTTAAAGTGGAAGAAAATTATCTCATTGAAAAAAAAAAAACACAAATATTGGATCATGACAACATGTCAAATGGAGCAGCAAACTTTCGTTCTGTTTTTATGTCCCAAAAATGCACACATAGAGGTGTACAGTAAGCTGTCACGGTAGAGAACATTATATACTCGGGACAGCAAATATTTCCAATCAGAGGGCTATTGTTTTCGGCTAATCATTACAGGCATACGCTTTTGAATCCATCCAATGGTAAGGTAAAGTCAGATTATTTCCGTCAGGGGATGCATTCTACGGCAGGGGTGCATTCTTCAGCACAACACCTGAGAAGACAAACACCGAAACCAGGAGGCTGCTTCTGTTACCCTCCGCATCAAAGGGAAGGAAACGTAAAAGTTTCGAGGAAAAGGCTTAAGTAAGGAAGAAATATGAGCGGTATGGGTGCCGATGGAGAGTCTACATTGGAGAAACGTACGGCCGGTGGAAAAAGCTACAGAAGGATTTGGGACTGAAAACTGACGCTGAGACAGACGAATTTCTGTTGAACAGGTAATAACTTTGTTTACTACAGTGGGAGATGTCTGCTGAATAACTCTGGTTATTCTGTGCCTATACTGGCTAATGACCGAACATTGTTGGTTGGAACGGGTAGGCTCTGTCAATAGATTTTAGCACAAGTTAGGCACGCATCTTTAGCATTGTAAACTGAGCTGGTGAAGGAACGCCGAGAAAGGTAAAGCCTCGCCCACAATTGGCTCTGCTCTGACCGGCGAGCAGTGGCAATGCCAGACCCGCTTCGCCCCGCTAATTAATGGTTTTGATCGCACCGGTCCAATTGAAATGGCTACCACTGTATGTTACAAGGGGGATGACTGTTGTGTTTGTTTACTATCTTCTGCCAGACGCCTTCTTGCTCTATCAGTGGGGGCGTGTTGTTAGGAGGCGACACAACCTGGGGGGGAGGGATCTTGGAAGACGAAGGGGAGGGGTGAGTGAAGGGGGGGCAGGCTGCGTTTTTCAAACCTGTCTCAACAGCCAAACTGGTTTTCAGATCGTAGACCATAGCTTTAAGCTAAAATGGTGGACTTTTATGCTAGGTTTTGACCTCATGTTGTAGCTCATAGATACCACAATTGATGCATAAAACACATTTAAAAATTATCTTATTTCATTAGAACACAATTCTAATAAAACTTATAACAGACCAAATTCACTTTCAAGTGTGAAAAATCTTTTTTAGAAATAATACCCATGTGCTTCTAAGCTTAACAGACTCCATGAATTGATGCCCATCTCCTAAATACTTGGTCACATGATCAATTTCTTTGACCATTTCCAAGCAACAGGGGGTGGCTCAACTTATCCTCTGGCTCAACTTACCCCACTCTTCCCTACTTTTAAGTGGGAAGCCTTCCAACCTGCTGCCCAAACCTGGTAGATACTAGTCGAGGGTCTTTACAAATGAGGCTGTATCTCCTGTATTATCTCCTGTGTGACAGCCCAGTGGCCTGTTTAGTTATTTTATATTGTCTCTTGTGTTGCAGCCTGACTGGGAGCACATGGGCCCTGTACTCCCGGTCATCCCATAAGCTGCCACCTGGGTTCTTTGAGGGAGACTCTCTTCATGCACCTTGTTTGGTTTCTTTACCCTCTTTTTCCACAAACAAGAGCACACTATACTTTCCATAAACCCACTCACTTACACCACTCTACTGAAACTTGCATTTCATATTTTCTGCAGCATTATTTATATATTAGTAAATTAATTAGTTAAAATAAGTATTATCTCTGTGTCTCTCCCTTGATTTGCCATGACACAGGTGTCATTGGTCATGACACCTGTGATCTGCATGTGCAAAGTTCAAGAGATGAACTATGAATTCTTCTATATTGACATTTTAAGTTTAGCCATAACTGATTTTAAAAAGTTGTGCAAATCAAGTAACAACCTTTGGGATCTATTTTATCAGCTTTGACGACACCAGTGGCAAAAAGAGGTAATTGCAGGTAACTGGGCTCATCAGAGGCTAGCTCACAATACTACATACTAATACTATATTACATGTTTTACCTTCACTTGAGTTCTTAACATATTAATAATCAAAGTCATTGTGCATTGATTCTATTTTTTTGTCAGTTTTTGCCACATGCTGAAAAAGAAATCATGTAACTTTATGCATTTCTGCATCTATCTGATGGGCTTCCCAGTGTACTGTGAATGGATTCCAAGGAATTATGAACAAGAACAACCGTGAGCCTGTCTGAATATCAGTTTACCAGTGGGATATTTTGGATTATTTGCAGGTGTTTGTCTCTCTTTAAAATATATTGCTTGCCAGTTTCTAGGATCACTATCTCCTTGACATCCTGACATAGACCTGTAGGCGTTCAGGATGATTTTTCAGCTCCTGTATCAGCAGGTGAAACTGTCCTTGCTCTCTTTTATAGGAGTGGATGGACCCAGTTTCCCATGACTAGAGAAACAAATGACCCTGGACTCAGTGTATAAGGTTCATGTCCGTGAGGCTTTTTATTGCATAACAAATCTGGAAAGCAAACTCTGTGCAAAGACCTAAAGTCTGCACATTTATTTTGATATGAGGTATAAGTATGCCTGAGGTGTTACTACATCATTTCAAAAGCATGTGGTTACACTGTGCGTTCATTAGCTTTGTAAATATTGGTTTAAACAGATGAGACCTGCAGGGAATGCTGCAGGAAAGCTAATGGAGCTTATTCTCACACTTTTTCCTCCTGTTCCCAAAAACAATTGAAACAACAACAAAAGGTCATGAGGCAATCACTCACTTCTCCTAATGTTGTTTGTATCCAAGTAAACTCTGCAGTAAAACATCAAACCAGAACGGTTGTAATAAATATTCAGTGAACACAAACTGCACTCCACTCTCCTGTATTTTTTTCCAGCTAGATCTACATTGTTAGTGTATCTGAATCCATGAACAATCAGCTGTCCTCTCTGGGAAACAGAGTTTTAATGTTGGCAGGGTGGTGGGTGATTTCTGTGCTGTACATGACCATGTGAAGACATTATTTAAGCCGTGTCAGACATGTTACTCCCCCCGCGTGTGCCCCAGAGTTTTAGTGCACTGTTGACATCATGTTGATAGGTTTACGGCACATAACAAACACAGCATTATATGTGGGAGAGACTGCAGCTAGTCCATGTGATGTGTATAAAATTGAAGGAAGTGTAGCTTTGACATTTCACACCATAGAGAACAAGTGATAAAAGTGTACATTTATCACTCTGGTTTCTTTTAAAAAATAGTTTCTCTAATTTAGTGGCTCACACATCCGATGAAGAAATCACCAGCAAAATGTAAATCATGGTTCACTTTTATGACTTCAGTTAGATTAGGCTTGTTTAAGAGCTGCTGTGACGAAAATCGTTCACAGCTCTGTGTCAGTATTTCCATTGCCATTAAAAACACAGTGATAGAAAAAGAGTATCTTGTCTTGCTAAGTATTTGTAAAATGCCTGCTGAAGATGCATACACTCACTGGAATCATGCTGTTCTGAAATCCTGCTACGAAGTTCTTTATATGACAAGACTTGGCGTTGAAGTGATAATTGAATGGCAACACTCATGACAGGCAACCGCATCATGGATGCTAAAAGGTCTTTTCTTTGTGCTGAAACACCATGTGGACGAGTGAAAGGCAAGGCGACACAGTTAATAATTTCAATTGAGACTTGCCATAACTCTCTGTGCACAGCCTGTGAACAAACTACATTGCATGATCTACGCTCTAGCTAACGTTGACTCTTTGAACTACATATCCCATCAGTTAGAAAGTCATGTATGGCTTTTATCTGACACTGGATCACATTGGCCTCAGTTTTTTTTCTGAAAGTGCAATTGTAAGCATCACAATTCGTAAACTTAAAGCTACCAGAAAACTTTGACCTACAACTTTGATGATCCAGTTTTTTCAGGGTGTTTGTGTGGTAGACAAGACCACATTTGGAGGCACCAGCAGACCAAGCACCAGGATGGAGGACAAAAGTGATTTTATCAATGCTGAATGTAAAGTGGACATTGGTACTGGACGGGCTGGTCTGAGTATTTTACAAATCGCTGTTCTGTGAGATTTTCATGAACAAAAATCTTGAGAGTTGATAAGTAGTAGTCTGATAAAGAGAAAAAAAAACAGCCAGCGAGCAGCAGTTCGTTGGATGAAAATGCCCTGTTAGTGGTAGAGGTCACAAAAAATGGGCCGACTGATAGAAAAGCAACTAATAACTCAAATAACTACTCTTTAAAACTGAGACCTGCCAAGGAGCATCTCGGAACACGATGAACCTTGAAGCAGATTGGCCACAGCAGTGGAAGACACACTGGATGCCACTCCTGTCAGCTGAAAGGAAACTGAGGTCAAAGGCCCTAAATGGACAACACCTGACAAATAAAATGTTGTCCAATCTTATTAGTCTTAATGGCGGCAACACAAACAACATAAAAGCAGTTCAGTTCATTCCCTTGGTGCCAATTCATCATTGTTTAATAATTGGGGGGGGTTGGGAGGGAGGGAGGGAGACTGTCCCTTTCAGAGAAAAATGAAATGCTTTAGGAAGTTTTTTGGGGGGATGTAGAAATGTAGACTGCATTTTTTTTTACAGAAATTGGGGTGTTTTTTTTTCTTAGAAGATGCAGTTCAAGGGTTTTGGCAGAGGAGGTTAAAACTAAGTGGAGAGATCTGAGTCTGTGGTTCTCCTGAAAGTTGGACGAACCTTTTCCTCAGAGACTTCTTTTTAGTCTTCCTTTTGATCTGTTCCATCTGGCTTTCAAGTTTTACCAGCCTGTCCGTGAAATCATCCTCAGATTGAGGTGGTTCTGCCTCTTTCTTCTCCAGAGTCCCCTGCAAGACAACAATGGACTGCATGAAATTGGTCTTGTCTTGCTGCCACTGTATCTTTTCCTTATTCAGTTCTTCCTGCACCTGGAGGACATTTTCTCTTAGTCTTGCAACTTACTGGTTATGACAGTCCAGCAGGCAAGCTCGCTCTTCCTCCCAATGTCGTCTCTGGTTCTCCAGGTCTATTTTGGCCTTGGCCTGTGCCGTTTTCAGTGTGGAGGTTTCTTTTTTTCTGCTCGGAGGTTGGTCTCTGCCTTCATCCTCTTACATTCTTCAGCTGCTAAAGGTCCATGCAGCTCTGCAACTCTGGACACAGCCTGCTTTGTGCTGTGTCTTTCTTAGAAAGATTCACCAGGAGGAGACCAATCCACTAGTTGACATTAGCTGTCTGAGATCTGAGCAGGTTCTTCAGCTGCTCAGCCTCATTGATCAGGACTGTCTTCACCTCCTCCAGTTTGTCTGCCTTCTCTTTGTGACCCATGAGCCTTTGTAGATTTTGCTCAGGAACCTGGACCAGACCCTGTTTGATATTCTGAGGGTTTTCCAGCTGACTGGTTACCTGCTGTAGTATGAGAGGAAGTTCAATTTCCGCCAACAGCTCTGATTGTGGTGTTTCTGCAGGTGGTTGTGTCTCATCTGGGGCTGATGGTTCTTGAGGCTCCTCAGATGTTTCCTGCTCAATGGAGGTCATTTCCACCGGTCTTTCTTGAAGTGAAGGAACGTTGTCCTCTTCAAAGTACAGGCAGCTCACCAGGTTGCCTGCCTCTTGAAAGTTTCTGTTCTTTCAAGGGTTTACAGGTTTTGGAGGTTCCTGGTGTCCTTGTTCGCAGGCTGCTTCCTCCACACAGTCCTGCAGTTCTTCCTTCTCATTTGGGATGCAGACTTGTGTCTCCAAAGATGGCTCTATCACAGCCAGTGACTCAGACTGGATGGTCTGCTTTCTTTCAGTGTCTTTTTCCTTGGATCCTGCACTCTGGTTCCCCTTGCAGAGGAGTGCAGGTCCCTGGTTCCAGGAACACACAAGAAACGTGTTCTTGATTTTGTTTTGTCCCTTCTTATGCTCTTCTTGTTTGATTTGTCCATCTTGTGACAACAGTTTGTCTCTTCAATCCTGCTCTTTCAGCGTCTCTGTCAAGTGACGGGATCGATCTGAATGCTGGAGATTTAAAGATGAGCTCATATATATAGACAAAGATCATGGAACAGACGGACCTCGACAAATAATGTAGGCTAAGACATCAAAGTGCTTCAACCTAACTGTTGCTCGGCTGGACTAGCTTAGAACACAAAATGATATCCCACAAACAAAAAAAATGGAATAATTTACATTGTTTTATCAGTAATGTAATTTCCTAATTAATCAATTGATTTTCTGATACATTGATTATTTTACCCCATTGAGTTGTTGCCAAACCACTTAAGTGCATATTTTTTCCCCTCTGGAGTCCATCACAGACCTCAAAACTGGGACTTTTCTCCATCATCCAAGCCTCTGTTTTTAATGCACTGGATGACAGTCTTATCTAAAAAAGACTAAAAGTAAATGAGAATTATCAATGAATAAGGCCCAAACCTTAAAAGATGCCGATAAATGATGATAAGGGAAAATGAAGTTAACATTTAGCTTTAAGCAGTTAAGATTTTTTGACTGAGTGTTATCATAGACGACAACTGCAAAGTATTTAGCACACAAGTTCGCTTTGGGCAACACAAATCATGCATATGTGGCAGTACAAGTGTGCAGTCGATATGCACAAATGATGCAAGACTGGGTTATATGCACCCAAATGACACCACTGGGTTGAGAATGAAGATCATGGTTTGGATAAAAAACATCATTTCAAAAGCACATGGCAGAGAAAGTATTGTGATGTTTGAGTTAGTAATGCAAAATGAAACTCTGGCTTGTGGTCCCACACAAGTTACAGTGGTCCTCTCCTAAAAGCCCTTCACCAATCTTCAAAGATTTTGTTGCATTATGAGCATTAGAAAGTGATTTCATCATGTAGCTGAATTACATCTTAATTTACTTTGTTTTATGACCCCCTTGATGCTTTTGTGAAATTGTTCTCCTTTTTGTATTGCCTTTGCTAACTTTAATAACAATGTCTTGTGTTTTATGCACACATTGTTTTATTGCTCTGATTAAAATTCTGCTCAGAGCTGTAAAATTTCTCCAATTTTCCATGCACGTCTGAATTTTATGCTCAGGTTATTCCAGGTCATTTCAGGTGAAACCCTGTTTTCATCAGTTTTACCAGTATTGTATTCATTTGTAATCCCAAGCATATTCCCACAGTCCTCCTTATGTCAGTTTCTTTGTCTTTCGTCAACATTGTGTGCACCAAATTTGTTTAACTTCCATTGCTTTGTTTTTCATTTGCTCAGTTCCCCTCTGAAGGCTAGTGTGTGCTTTTGTTACCCAGGATGTGTCCAAGTCCAAACACAACACTACCATGCTCTATTTTTGACCCAGTGTGAAAAAACTGCAGTTTGGTAGCCCAACTGGCCCCTCAATGACCTTCTGTCAGCTAAAATGCTCCAGTAGTGCCAATCTGTGTTGACCTTTGAGACAAAATAGAAAGCTAAATATAAAACAAACTCTGCCTTATCTTGTTCAAATCTCCCCTTTTCTGTCACCCCCATCCTTAAAAGAGTTGATACAATTTGACTTTCCTTTTGTTTACACAAAATCATATCAGGGTCCCAAATGAGGCACAACTTGTGCAAGTCATTTGCAAGGACGACTTCAGACGAACTCAAGTTTTGCTATAGACTGCAAACAAGATGGATGATGGAGAGCACAGTCCCTGAAAAGAACTGGAAATACCTGCTGCAGCCAAATCTATGGATGCTTTTAAGGCATTTTTAGTATTATTACTGTTGCAACACATACAGTTTTACCCTGCAGAATAGTTATGCAGACAAAACAGCTACACAGACCAAAAACATATTTCACACCATATGCAATTCATGTCGTCATTTATTGAACATTGAACACAAGTATGCATGACAGAGATTGTTTCAGGATGAAACCAACAGCTGATATCATCCTGCTCCTGATGACTATCACCTATAGTATCACAACATTATTGCAGTAATATCACAAAGCAAATTGAAAGGTCAAGACTCCCTCCAGATCTATGCTGGGTGTATTTCCACTCTGATCCGGTTTTGCTCCATGTCAACACCCACCAGCTGTGTTTTCAGGGTGCATAACAGAGCAGCACCCCTGGACAGATGGAGACTTCTTGCATTAAATACAGAATCGATTATTCCTTATCTCCACAAGGAGCTCTGAAAACTTCTGATCTGTTGACTCAGGGCCTGACTCCACCCAACGAAAGAGTTGTTAAAGTGAAATGATTTCAATGCAATGTGTTGTATTTTAAAAACCAGTGAGCAAATGCTTAAATATATCAGCTGTGCTGATTGATGCACGATAAATATGATCCTCCAATTTTAGTTTAGTTTTTTTTTCTTTTTTTTCCGTCACAAACATCTATTACGCACACACCAGCCACTCTTTTCTTCTCCATCCTCTGACTCGTGCATTTTGCAGCCACTCACAAAATACAGAGAGATGTATGCTACTAGTTTGTCCATTTAGTGCTACTGTAGAAACATGGTGTTGCAAGATGACTGTCTCCATGAAAGGGGGACCCATCCTATGTTGACAGACATGATTCATTCTAAGTCAACATATCATTAATATCCACATGATATTACAGTAATTCAAATCTAATTATGAATATTCTACTCTGTTTCTATCTAGTGACAGTTTAATTAACTAGATATGAGGGAGGCATAATGGTGGGTATTGGCTACACTATTATCTCATACAAACTTTGTGTAACATGACGGTAATGATTTGGTTTATGCAGCATTAAGAGCTTTAAAAGACCAGCAAAATCAAACAAAAGACAAAAAAAGGAAAGAAAAAAAACAATAAAACACAAACAATTAATTACTCAATAAACCCTAGAAACTAACAAAAGCCCATCAATATGATCAACCCAAGAGGTTGATGAAATCAACGACAATGATTGAGAAGAAATATGATCAGACATGACCAATACATTGAGCTGAGATTTCAGGGGCATGCTAGCCTGGAAGCCTACAGTTTTGCCACACATTGTGTTCCTCTGATCAGGTGCAGCTACCAGGGGAATTTTGTTCCCAATGATTATGCATCTTGTAAATGGAAGATAAAATGAGTTTACACACTAGTTCCTACCTAAGAATTAGTGTGTTGATGCCTGAGGGTAAATATGAAATGGAAACACAACACGGCCTCAATTTGAAGGCAGGTGTGATATAAAGTCCCAATGTGATGAAAATCATTTATTTCTTGTATATATCAGATTTTTCTGATGCCAGAGGATATATCATGAGAATACTAAGTGCAAAATTGCATTTCTGTGTATTTCTGCTTTAAAATCACTGTGAACCTCTGGCAGACCCAAACATCGGGTTCAAACACAGTGGGATTTTCTACATCACAAATCCAAGCTCCGCCCCCAGCGCCCTCCTCTACAGACCAGACAGATTGCAATGCTTATAAGAAAGCTAACAGTGATATAAGCCTTGACCATGCCCCCAAAGACATTAGTGTCCGAGAGCTGAATAGCTCCTATATTACCTGCTACACCTGCTGTACCAATGATGTTAGGCGTTGTTAGGGTGTGGGGAGCATTGTCTCCGCCCATGACTCAAAGGTGAAGTGCTAATGAGCTGCTGGTGCTCTGCAAAAGAAAAGTCGTTAAAAATGACACAGGTAACAGGGTTTTGGATAAAAACTTTATAATCATAATTTAAAGACCGCTGAGAACACTTTAACTAGTTAAAAAAACAATTGGAGTGGGACTTAAAGGAGGCCCAGCTAGAACACAAATTGTGAAGATGCTGCAGTCACGGGATGATGGGGTTTTATTGCTGTGTCCTTTGAAAATGCTTCTGCAAAATTGCAGGGCTGGATAACTGTTTTGAAGATGTGACAGACATCTGCTTACACTTTGAATAAAGTTTTGTGTCGTTGCCAGTGTTAAGTAGCCAACTCCCTGTCAATTTCTTTTAAATGTCCTTACAAATTCTTGGCTGCCACTCATTCTCAAGGTTTGATCTCTTCTGTTGCTTTGTTTCTGAGTGTAACATGATAAATTGTTTTTATACTTTATTGACCCTGTAGTTCTGACAGCAGTAATGGAAAGAATTTAAATTACACAGTGATGCCAGCTACTTGGTGTCAGTATTTCAGCACCTCTATAGAGATATTTACTGTACCAGAACACAATAATTACAGACTAAAGAGGGCACAATGATTATAGAGCATAGGTGAAAGAACAGTCCCTTTTTTACAGCATGTACCAGAGGAAAAACATCTGTGATTCTCGGACACAGTGTATAAAATCAGCCTGAACTATCAGAGATTGTGGAGTTTAATGCATTTCTAATGAAGTGCAGCAAAATAGAGTGTTACAAACAAGATGTAGACAAAAAAAAACTTAAACAACAGCTGAATACACATCTCTGCACATTCCACTAGTGCTCATCATTTGTCTACTTTACATATCATACCTGGGCCTTCATGACCTCTCCTTTATTTGATCACTTTGACAGACCTGCAATCCACTTGTCAGGCAGTGTATATGTTAAACAAATAATTGCATTATCTTTTTTCACGTACCTACC